GTTAATTTAGTATGTTAAATTCAATCGATTAACACATGGATTGATATTGTGTAACACCTTAAATTTAATTTCAATAAATAACAAATTTTACAAATTTTTGAAATAATAAAACTTTCATTTGTAATCCACGTTTCATTAAACATTTCAAATAAAGAAAAAGAGTTACAAATTACGTCAAACAGTTGTTACAGGACTTATTCAAATACAAGAGTTTTCCAAAATAATATCCTAAGTCTTATAGCAGTTCCATCCACCCCTTCACTGAGTCCGGTGCTGATCGTCTTGATTACCTGAAAAATGAATGTACTACACTACTAAACCACAATCAAGCACAGAGTCTCACCTCTAACTCATTTCCAATACTCTGGTGTCAAGGCTACCCTCGCCCGCCTAGTTGCCTCATTCTATTGGCCTGGCATGTTTAAAGACACAAAATAGTTGTTAAAAAATGCTTGATTTGTCAACAAAATAAATATGTGACACGAAAGAAAGCCAAATTATTGTAACCCTTACCAGTTCCACGACGAGTTTGAGAAGACTTATCCATGGATTTCATCACCCATCTTCCTCCTTCCTTTGGTCACTCCACTATCTAAGTCATCTGTGATCGCCTCACCAAGTACATCCACTTTCTGGGCCTCCCTAGCAAGTTCACTGCCCCTGATCTAGCCACTCGTTTCTCTACTGAAATCTTCGCTTGCATGGTATTCCCAAGTCTATTGTCTTCGATTGTGACCCCTTATTCCTTAGCTCCTTTTGGAAAGAGCTCTTTTGCCTCCAAAGTACCAAGTTATAGTATAGCTCTGTATATCACCCTAAGTCAGACGGACAAACAGAAGTTATCAATTGTAGTTTGGAAGCCTACCTCCGCTATTTTGGGGGTGATTATCCCAAGCGTTGGTTCAAATTTTGCATCTTGTAGAGTTTTGGCACAACACCGCTTATCATTCCTCCATCGGCATGACCTCGTTTCAGGCCCTTTATGGCAGACCCTCACCAGCCATCACTAACTATATTCTAGGCTTAGCGACCATTGAGGTTGTAGACACCATTCTCCACATGCGCTCTGCCCTTCTACTTCAAATAAAAGGCACTCTTAAGCATACCAGACAACGTATGACAAATCAAGCCAATAGGGGGCAACGTGATTGTGAATACAAACCTCGGGACTTAGTTTTGCTGAAGCTTCAACCGTATCGACAACAATCGGTGGCCAAACGTCTTTCTCACAAGTTGTCCAAGTGTTACTTTGATCCTTTCGTTGTTCTTCCTCGTATAGGAGCTATTGCCTGTCAGTTGCGCTTACCACCAGATTCTTAGATGCATCCGGTTGTTCATGTTTCTCTGCTCAAACCTTACCATGGACAAAATCCAGAAACCCATTTTTGTTTCCCTACCCAAGGACTTGGAGCACGACCTCTCTGACGAGCTCTCACATGTTTCATTTTTCCAAGAGCATAAGCCAACTAGTTCCCCCAAAGTTTTTACTTCTTCTACTTTAATTCCTCCCTTGCCGCTCCAGCTCACCCCCTTTTCAACAGTCCTAACTTCCCCTCCATTGGATAAATTCGAGTCTCCCAAAGTCCTCAACAGCACAATCTTCATCGTCCATTCCAAGCACAACCTTTGTGCTCTCACGTCACCCCAGGCAGGCCCTCAATCTTTTTCTACTCAGCTGGACCCCACCATTCCAACTTCCCTTTCCCATGCTAACTTTTCTTTACGAAAGATGCCCCACCAACAGCATGTTCTACACGCTCAACCTACCATCTCATCTAGTCCATCCATCTCTTCCTCGAGCAGTGTCCACACTGACACAATCCCAGCACCAAGCCCCACGCTCACTCCTTCCTAGCTGGCCCAACCCGTGTTGCAAATGTGGTTTCCCCAATAACCAATGCTTCCCATCTTATGGCCACTATTACCTCACATTTGTAACGCCCTAGATTTTTGCAACATCGATTATTATTATGTATATATATATGTGTGTGTGTGTGAATGGATGTTAGAGTGTGCACTTGTTTGCATTATAATGATGTCGATGTGTATGAATGCATATGAATGAGTATAATTGTATTTATATATGATTGGACTGAGAAAATAGGTCAAGTGTGTAATACTAGGGCATTCTCACTGTAGCGAGAGGCCCTGAAAGGAAGGCGTGAAACTGTCGACTTCTTGCTGTAGCAAGAGGTTCCTCGTTATAGCGATAAAGCGATAGTTTGAGATGCATTTTTGGATGCAGTCTCGTTGTAGTAAGAGGGCCTCGTTGTAGCGAAATTATATAGAAACCATAATGCAATTCCCTCTGAGATTTTTGCTGCAGCGAGAATGTCTCGCTGTAGCAAGAGTGTCGCGACTAGAAAAAGATTTAAAGGGGTTAGGGTTTGGGGGAGTTCATTTCTCACTTTTCCCCTCTTGATTCTCTCACTCTCAGACCCTATTTCACCGATTAAATTGCCTCCAAGCCGTTTGGGAGCAAGATTGAAGGTTAAATTTGTGTGAGGAATGCTTGGAGGTAAATTTTAATGGTTAGAGTTTCAGTTTTTCATCCCCATTCTCTTATTACTCAGTTTTCCTTGGTTTTTACAAGAATTTTTTTGTGTATTTAGGACTAAGTTCGTGTGGGGAGCCTTCTCATTGCCAATTTTGTGTGTGTGTGTCTTCAGTTGAGGTAAGCGGGGACTCTACCCTATCTCATTACGTTTAATTTATCATTTTTTCGGTTAAATGTTGCAATGTGGCTGAGATAGAGAATAGGAATTGTGTGATGTGATGGAAATTATTGAATGTGATGAGTGAAACAATTGAGTCCTATATGGGCGAAGAGCTACGTTTGCGTGTCCTCGAATAATGTAAATGGTTGGAAATGAGTATAGATGGCATGTTGAAATGTGGTGTGTATGAAATGGACATGTGTGTCATGTGTGGTAGATGAATGTGGGCCAGTGGGCCGTATATTGTGAATGAATACGGGCACTTGTACCGTGTACTGTGAATAATGTGTGTGGTTGAAATGTGTGTAAATGGAACATATTGAATGCCGTTGTAATGATGCTGTGAATGGTTCAACGATACACTAGAGGTGTGGAAGATGAGGATGGAAGAAATACCTTGGGGAAGAGAGAGTGGTGATGACACCAACAGTGAGAGTAGGTGCACCACAGGCCACACACTCTCCTTCTGACTAGACCTCTGACTACTACCTTTGCTGAGCAATCCGTGACTGCCCACACAATATCCGTGAGGCGGGATAACTGGTGATCATTCATGGTGTGAAACTGTGATCACAATGCCACAGTAAGCGTGGCTAGGTGCAGTGAGTGCACGTGTGTAAAGTGTTTGGTGCCTGAGTGCATCGATTTTGAACTGGAATGAAATGTTTGCAATGTTATTTGTGATTACTTAGGCCTGAGTAGAATATATTAGAACATTTATAGATATGTAAGGTGAGTCTTTATGTTATGCATGTGCATGGGATAATGTAGAGGACTCACCCTTACATTTATTTTTCAGGTGACCAAGACGATCAACATCGGACTCAGTGAAGGAAGGATGAACTGCTATAGGATTTATATTGTATTTTTGAAATTATGATGTAATTAAATTAATACTATAGCAGTCTTTGATATAGACTTGTAATCCTTATTGGTTTGAATTGTTTTATGAAACTCCGTGATGGGCTCTTTTATTTAAATAAAAATTTTATTACTCCCATTTTGCGAAATTATTACTTGAAAATTAAATTTAAGACATTACAACATTCTCCTGTTGTCAAACACAACAAACCCATAGACCTTGAGGACAAGGTCCATGTTGGAGCAGACAGTATTGTTAAGCGGCCCAAACCTAACGCTGGAAGACCAACATGCTATAGGGACTAAGACTTGAAGTGGACCAACAGTTAGCCCATGCAATAACTAACTGTGCCTTTTATTTTAACTTCAGTTTTAGTTTTATTATCTAGTGCCATATGTTAGGCCCATATCCATGAGCTCTATATATATTGTCATCTGTTATTTTTGAAATTCAAGAAAGAAGTATTCAGTATATTTTTGCTTCATATTGTAGAACCCTAGTATTCTTAATGCTTCCTAGTGTGAACAACAGCTTCCATTAATATACCCTATGAACTCTCGTAACAGCCACCAAGTGGACTTTCAAATTGTCAACATTGCCACCAAGTCCTACTTTCACTATATAACCCAATGATCCTGTTCCTTGCAGTGATAGCTCAATAGTGAAAGTTGGGAAGATACATTTATTTTTTGTTTCAAAAACTGAGTTAAATTGATTTTGAAATTGAGTTCAAAATTAACTTAACTCCATTTTTGCCAAACTAACATTTTAAAAAATAAACTTGAAAGTAATTTCTAGGGTGCCTTGAAAATAAGAAGGTATTCTATGTAATTCTTACATGAAATAATCATAACTTTTAATATTATATTATATTATATATATATATATATATATATATATATATATATATAATAGACGGTGGAAGTTAGTGATTTATCTTAAAAAAAACATAAATATCTTTTAATTTTTAAGATATTAGAGCTATCATAACTGTTGATTAAAAAAAAGATTATAATATCCTTTCAAGTTTATGGACATCATAGCAAGCACTAAACCTGAAACCACCCCAAATATACCCTAAAGTTTTATTCTTAAATAGACAATTCACAGTCGTTTTATGACATACAAAAGGAAGCTAAACCATTTAGGTTTATCATCATCACATCATTCTCATTAGCACATCTTTAATTCTATACTTGTGAGAGTTTGGTGTGTTTGTCATTGATTAGAGGATTTGTTTTGTTCTTCATTTTATGATAGAATTATTTTTTCTTTCGTTCTTCGAATGATTTGATCATGTGCTTCTACGTAGTGCATAAACCCTAATTATTCCAAATTTTTAAAAAGTTACCTACCACTGAATCTATGTAGGATGACATGATAACTTCTCTACACCACCATACAAGCAATTCAATGGTTTAGCACATAGATTGTCTCTTTATTTATTAAAGAGTTATACATAAAGCATGTTTTGTTTTAAATTCCTAGGAAAAGAATGTTTTCAAAACACCGAAACACACTGACATGTTGCAAATTTACTGCTGTTCGAGTAGTGAAACTTGAGAACAGAAATGGCTGCAGTTACTAAAAACAAGAATAAACTGCTTTTGGAGGAGGCCGTTTTCATGTTTGAGAATTTGATAGTTCCTTGGATCTTGAACATCAATTATGTGACATTTTCAGAAGTTATCTGCAGCACTTCATGACAAATAGACAATATATGTTCCAAGAGGATGGCTCATCTAGACCTGTGAAGTTAATTTCATCCATTATTTGGTGAAGACTTCATCATTCTCTCATCACAATCTGTGAATAACCAATAGGAAGAGGTAAACCAAGAGAGTTATCCCATTCCATATGCTAAAGAACTCAAACTACTTATTTTTCTTTCTTTAGTTAACAGAAGAAAGTCAACTACTCAAATTTGAAACAACTTTTTTGCTCCTATCTGTCAGCACCATGAAAGCCTTAACAAGCTCCTCCTTGACCATGAATAGAACAGAAGCTGCAAAAACACTCTGTACAATCTTCGTACTCATTCCCTTATAAAAGCCACACAATCCTTCATAACGGATCATTTTAAGTACCGCATCAAAAGTGCCTGCATTTATAGCATTAGAAAAGGGAAAGGCATATTTTGACAAAGTGGCAGACATACAACATAGTTCTGTTTTCTTCTTAGACTTTGTTTTGATATTTCAAGATAGTATGTGACATGCATAGAGATACTGATGTTGCGGTTAAAATGAAGGAATAGTACACTATAATTGTCGTGAAACATGCAGATTATAAACAAAATTATGATTACATAGTTAGTAAACCTAGTCTCAAAGACATTAATATTGTGTTAACAAATAATGTTATTAATTATTTATTCAGTAAGAATGCCAAGTGAAGGAAGTAAACTCTAAGCTGAATAAAAGATTTCAAAGAAAAATGATGCATGGAAACAATAGAGAAAATAATCCAGAGTATTAGAAATCAAAGTAGTTTTCTAAAATGCAGTTATATTGTGAAATCAAAGCAGAATTCAGTAACCAGCACTTATCCCTCAAAAAAAAAAAAAACTTAGGAAACAAATGTTTTAAAATGTTAAACTGTGATGATCAGCTTAGGAACCAGCAGCAACTAATGAAGTTAAAGATCCCATGGCACTATGACAGTGATTACACAAGTAGATACTTAATGACTGTTATCAACCGGATCAGTAATGTAAGGATATGGATAAAACAATAACGACAAAGCCTTACACCACTAGGTGTGATCAGCTACATGGATTACACAACACTACTAAACTTAGTCAAAAGCCAAATTCTCCAAGATATTATTTACCATGAGATCCTTTTTAATAATTTCTTCAAAAGTTCTTCTAGGTCTCCTTCCACCCCTTTTCACTGGGATAGGATGTGGATAAAATAAAGGAAAAAAATTTAAAAAGTCCAAAGGCAAATTAAGCTATACTGCATCTAACTAAAAGCAAACCTGAGTATCTTAACGAGTTACTTCCACCAATCTCTTGTTTTGCTTGAAGCCTTGACTGCATGTAAAGAAACATGTAGTAAGACACATCAGGCTTATATTAGAGTGTTTGTGATGCGTTGGTGATTGAGAGTTGAGACTGTAAAGAATAGTCACTTAGATACAAATTATTACAAGCTATACTACAAGAGAACAGATACTAATCAATTGTTGGAGCATTTGTGTACTTAATAGTCACTTGCATACTGATTACAGAAAGCAAGACAGGAAGAAAGATAACTATGGTAGTATTTAATATATGTAAAACAAAGGCAATCATCTAAAACCAGGATAAAAAAGGAATGATGGCAACCCGCTCTTTAACTGTACTCTTCAACAAAATTCTTGTGATAGATTTGTTTTTAAAAGAGCTAATGCAGTTTAAAAGTTGATCATTTACATTGACCTTTTAAAAAATGGATTAATCACAATTCACAAGGAATGTGTTGAAGAGTGTATTCAAAAGAATGTGTTGGTAGTATTTCTCCAGCTGAAAATCTAGCATTCTAGAACATTTAATACAAAAGTGGACTAATACATGATGATTGATGATATATATATATCTGCTTTGATGAGGTTGACAAGTATGTCCTATAATTATGATCCCTTGATGAGGATTTATCTTCTTAATAATAAATAAGTAAGGAGAACATGAATGAACTACTGGTGAATTTACCTTGACTACTAGTAAGGGATATGTTGAGACAGTTGCTCCAAGTTTTGCTAATGCTCCCACCAAAAAGACCTTTTAAAGGAAAGGGGATGTTATTTACTGATATGAACAGCAGGGAAAATATACAGACAGGTGACATAAAACACATTAAAATGTTCTCCCACAACTTGCTTTCCATTTATTTCATTTAAAGTACTCTATAGTCTATACCTCCAAAGCAGATATGCTTTTATTCCCCTGCTTCTTGGCAGAACGTTTTGCCCTTATATGCTTTAATGTGCTCTCATAAATCATAAACTGAATTGATGGATTGCATACCTATAATGAAAATTCCCAGCCACATAGAGATTATATAAATATTACACATGAATTTAATACATCAAATAAAATTAGTGGTGAAGCTGACCATAATAAGAGCAGGGATGACACCCTTCCAATATCCAACTATACCCGCTTCATTATAGACTTCATTAGCCTTTTACCCAAAACAAAAGTTCATATCAGCATTAACAAAAGTGAAATGCTTAACAGAAAATATGACAATCTTGGGTATAGTATTGTTTCAAGAAACATGACAATCCTAAAATTATTCTATGCTTTTCATACAACGTAACAAATCTAATAACTGCAGGAGGTAACTCAAAGTCATTTTCTGTTTATGACAAGAATAATGGAGCATTAACAGTGTGAAATTTTCTCATAATTGAAAATAAACTAAAGAGAAAAAAAATTATAATATTTTTGGAAGATACGAGGGGCCAAGGCGCAGAAAGATAAAGAAAAAAAAGAATTAAGCTAAGTAAGGGTATAGCCACCCCAGATACATCATCAAAGTTCTTATAATTTGAAAATAGTTTCAAGCAGTAAATCATCTAGTATTTAAGAAAAGGGAACAGAACAAGAAAATGAAAAGAATCCATACTCATTCCCTGACCAATGTAAAGAATAAACCACAACCAAATAAGGAAAGTCAAATAAGAAGTAAGAGACTAACTGCATGCATAGTTCCATATGGCCGAGGTTTTATAGAATTCAGTTCAGCCAATTTGTCTTGTAATGGTGAGCCTGCTATGCTGCTTTCAGAAGCAGTCATCCTTAAAGCTTCTTTCTTTTCCTCCATGATTTTCTTTTCTGCTTGAGTGTGTGTCTAGAATCAAAATATAAAATGGCACAAATAATTGTTATTGGACCCAAAACATAGGTACATAGTTTGAGGGTAGCATCAGGCAATCATATAATCGCTAATTTTAAGTATTGAAAATCTATGGATTGTTCCCCCAAACATACATGGAATGCCTTGAAAACATGTGCATCCATGCAATCCAAGTATAGGAATGTTAGTATTCACAGTTTAAACGCATACACATCAAAGTAACAGGAATGTCAATGCAAAATTGTGCTCGTTAAAATGTTTTCTTGCACAGACCACAATCATAGAATACATAAATAATTTCAAATGAAAACCAATCCCAATTGCATTTTACAATTTGTAAAACTTAAATTAGTATAGTTCAAGAAGTAAATGAAATTATCTGAAAGCACCTGCATCCGAGTCACCAGAACCCATATTGGATTTGTTAGCAAAACATTCAAGGACCTGCAGAATAAGACAATTGCAACTAGAATATCGATGAAATAAATAAAAATTGGTTCACTCAGCACTAGACATTAGTATTCTCAAATGCAACACTTAAATAAAATCAACATGATGGAGTAATTACCCAGCAATTGCAGCCACAACCAGCCAACCAAACATTCCAACAGTTCCATCTCCATACCCTTTTAATTTCCGGGCAGCTGCAATTGCCACAGCCTTGTTCTTAAAAACTTGATAGAAATAGTAGTAAATGCCCTGACAACATTAAAAAATAAGCTTTCAGACGACAACCCATTGAATAGCATATTGTATCAGGTGCGTTTGCATACAATAAGTTTATTTTCAATAATGACTTTTGACATAAATTTAATGATAAAATTTATTGCGCCAAGTTTAAAACACGTATGAGAGTCATAAACTATTTCCATGAACTGTAAAAATAACAAATTTATTTGGATTAACCCCATTGAAAATTTATTTCCATATCTAAAGCCTTCAACTTTGCATCTTACAACAATTAACAAATGAATAATCAGAAAAGGCTAAAACGGGGTGTAGTTAAAATCCTTAAAAATGATAACCTGAGATGCAGCAGTTCCAAGAAGAGAAGGCTTGAGGCCACTATAGAGTCCACCCCAACCTTCACTTCCAATAACCTGATAAAGGTTCAAAATCATAATCAATATCATCATAAACAGAACCAACCAAAAGAGACTTAAAAAAAGAGCAAAATTTGCACCTGAAAGATCTGAAGAAGAGTTCCAGGAGCAGTTGTACTTTGCTTGCTCCTCTTGAGTGTTCTCTCAGTTTGCTGGCGTGTGTTTACCTGAAAAAATTGCAATGGAATTTTGACTAAACTTGCACATCAAAAGAGAGAAACAAGAAAAGAGAGAGAGAGAGAGAGAGAGAGAGAGAGAGAGTGGGTACTACCGTTTGAAGAGGATAAGTTATGATTTGGGCAATAATTCCGCCACCTGCACCAGCCAAACCATTTGCAATTGCGTTTGATTCTGACATGGTTGTTGTTGGAAGTTGTAACTCTTCTATCTTGTTTCTGTGTCGTTTGCACCTTATTATTAGAGCTTAGATTCACACATGTCTGAGGAAGAGAAGATGCTAAGGAATAAAGAATTAAGGATTGTTGGCAAGACTTTCACTTCACATAGCAAGGGTCAGGTCGTGATGAAACTGTTTCGATATGTCATACGTTAGTTAAAAATGTTTATTAATTTGTTTTATTAACTAATAACTGCTATATAGTAGCTTTGAAGCTGATTTGGAATTGGTAGTTAGACGCCGGCTAAATATATTAAAAAAAGCATTAAAATAAATAATACAAATTTTATAATTTATATATAATTATTCTCATAAAGATAAGGTGGACGGAAGAGACTTTAATTTTATTGTTGCATTTTTGCATATTCACTTTAAAAATGATTTTCGTTTAAGCGAAAATGTAAAATTATACGTTAAGTTCATTCATAGCACAATTTGTGCTAAAACTGCAGAAAATTCTATCTTGTATCATTATATTAAGTTACTATATTTATATTTACTTTTTATATTATTTGTTTTGTGTTTATTTTAAATGGAAAGAAATGAATTTGTGAGATCGAATTTGAATATTACTATTAATAGATTAGAAGCTAAATGGTTTTTGTAGACTATTATCTGCTTAGAACTTCCCACATATTAAAAAGAAAAATAATAATTTTGATTCATTTGAGTATGAATTTTATTATGAGTAGATATATCAATTTGAACCAACTCAACCAGTTAGATTCATCTACTATTCAACATAATTTTGAATTAGACTAGACTAATTAAATTACAAATTAGTAATTTGTTAACTAAATTTAACCTTGGTGGGTTGATGGTTAAACAAGGTAACCCATTAGCTTACTTTCTATTAAAAAATTTATTTATTGTGTAATAATAATGTAATAATTAACATTCATGTATATAATATTTAAAATTATTATTTTGTTATTCTATTTTAATATTTTTATAATCTTACATTAATATATCTAATATTTCGTATATTTATAATTTAATGAAGTTCATGAAAAATATTTAAACCTTTTTGTTTATTATACTTTAACGTGTCAACTTCACCTTTTATAAAATATAATACAAACAAAAAACTTATTTCAAATGAAAAATTGTTAAATACTTATTTAAAAATCAGGCCAGTGCATGAGTCAGTCAAATTTTAAATTGAATTAAACAAATTAAAATCAAGTATGCAATTTTTTTCTTTTCAAGTCAACCCGCATTACATATCAAGCCAAATGAAACAACTCGCAAAGAGTTTACCCATTTCAACTTCACTATGCATGATGTGCTCCCACTTTTGTCATTTTTGTTTTCAATTTATTTATAAATAAAAAATGTTAAAGTGTGTGCTGTAGCTTTAGCACAAGATTTCCTCTTCCTTCTATTTTGGCAACTTAGCTTTTAGAGGAGTTGTCATCTTAAAAATTATTTCTTAATTTTTGTTTATTGTAACCTTTATGTCTTTTGAGTGAAAAACATAAAAATAGATTAGTAATTCCAACTTTTATTTTAAGAATATTTATGCACTAGTGAAATGTGTCCATATATTTGATAAGAGAAAATATAAAAATTAACAAAAAAATAATTATTTTTAATTTAAAGGAAATAAATTAGATCCATAAAACAGTAGTGAATCCAAGACTCTCAGGTCAGAAGGTACAAAGACATAAAATTAGAGAGTGGAAAATATAAAAGAAATTAATATTTTTAATAATAATTTATTAATATTGAAAAGGTTTATGAAAGTTGAGGGGGTACATTTACCCTTTTAACACTAATTTTTAAAATAATTAAGTTTTAAAATAAAATATAAAAATGAGCAAATTCTATAGTAAAAATATTCTAAAAAATCAAAGAAAAAATGTCAAATATTAAACTATCACACATGTGGAGCATGAAAAGGTACTACGCCCACGTGTTACCCTCAAACGCGCGTATTAATAGTTGAAAAGGTGTTTAAAATAAAATACGTCATACATATAAAAAGAGTCATTTAAAAATGTGCCACAATTACATAATTGACACATGGCATCTCCTAATGTGTAATCTAGATTAGAAGTGTGTCCCACACTTAACGTTGCCACGTGTTAATTGCTAATGCATGGTGTATAATGGTATTGTGATAAAGTTATAATTTAGTTTATATTTAACCTAATTTTGATATAATTTTGAGATTTATTTAATTAAATTTTATTAAAATAATTTTAAAATTTTAAAATTAGATCATTCTTTAATTTTTATTTAAATTATTAAATAAGTATAAATTTTAAATAAATATATTATAAATTGTATTAATTAGTGTTTTTTTTAATCTTTTAAGATAAAATTAGAATAGAGAATATTTTAAAGAAATTAATAAATTATAAAAGTTAGACAAGAGCTTGAGCATCCTAACACTCAAAATAGGCATTCTAATGTTCACTTGTAGAGGAACAAAGTTTCAGAAAATAACTAGCATTCTAATGTTGCGTTTCAATATTCTAAAGCTATAGTCTAATCAACTAGAAGATGTTGCGTGTTTCAACACTAGTTATAGCGTTGTAATGTTGATAATTTCCTATAAAAGGATATTTAAGAGATTTTAGCCCAGAAACTTGCATTACAATCAAAGAAACTTTTTCTAACTCTTTTTCTCTTAACTCTCTCTTCCTTCCTCCTAGAAAAAAGCCTCTAAGCTTTGAATCAAAGCTTGAACCTTAACTCTATGGAATCACTAGTGAGTATCTCAAAGCTTGGCTCTTCGTTCTCATCTTGATTTTCTCTGTTTTCTCTCCTCTCAAAGAGTACTCTTCTCTATAATATGTAGAATTAGATCTTAGCCTGTTGGACCACCTTTTTCACTAACTCTATCACTAAATTTGTCTATTGAGGTAAGGAGAGCTCTATTCCATTGCTAAGAACATGATTATGTAGAATATGTGTTTGAATGAAATATGTTTTCCTTATATTTGATGATTTGAATGATATGTATGTATGTTGTGGAATGAGTCTAAAGGTAACCAACTTTCGGTAATAATGATTGGTATATGATATAGTTAATAAACTTGAATAAATGGAAAGAGGAAAGGATGAACAAAATGTTAGCATGAAGGTATCAAGTTAGATTATGATGAGAAATATGAAAGGGGAAATAGAATGAGAAAGGAAAATGATAAGGATAAATGTGGATAGTTTAGAAATATACTAGGAGTGTGAAAGATAGAGATAATTTTAGAAATCTTGGAGAAATGAGAGTGGTAGATGCTCTTCTTGAATTGCGCAAAATTAATGAGAGTAAGAGCACCACAGACATCACACTCATTTCTTGACCTAAACTCATAACCATGCTTTTGTTAAAAAGGGCTAAGTCGGCACACGTTGTATCTGTGTAGCTGTGACTATTAGCAACTATCTATACTAGAGAAGACTTCAAGAGATCATAGGGGCAGTGAAAGTTTGAAACGAGGAATCCAAGAATAATAGAAAGGAAAATATGATAAATTCATAATACTAATAATTGTTGAATGTACATGAAATGAAATTGTATTTTGATGGATTGATGTATTTTTTCCATGTTTGTATTGCTTGATATGATTGTGAATTGTGTTTAGGTCATCCATACAAAAATCTTTCGGGCAATAAAGATAACAGATCCCTAGAAATTCATTTAGTTATCAGAGCTACTCATTAGAAGTAGGTTAAATTATGAATGTAGAAAGTGGCAGCAGTTATGCCATTATAGTTTTATTATAAATAGTAATGATGACTCAAGTATTATATTTACCTTAGAAATGACGATAAGATATGATGTAGCTTTCAATTACCCTAGCAGTGGTAGGATCCACCATACTAAATGTTTGTACATATACAGAGGTTTGGTCAGACCGCCAAATGCATGAAATTATGTATATACTTTTTGGGGTCATGATCGACATGAAAGACCAAGCTATTTTACCGCAAAGCAAATCACGGGTACTGGAGTGGTAACTGATGGAGGCGATCTCGGTAAAGATGAAGACTTATGTCCAGAAGAACCAGTAGAGATAGAAGGATGGTTTGGGGAGGATGAATAGGATCATATTCAGTCTTTTGGCATGGATATATTGCTCATTAACACTTATTATATTTTGTATCTTGTAAATGATGTAGATAAGTCTTAATGCATTTTAAAATTATATTTTATAAATATATTTTATAAATATTAAACTCTTGTATATTAATAAGACTAGTGTACATGTATATTATTTTAGCTTTTTATCTAAATTTATTTATTTTTCATTGCTTTATTATTGACAAAAAAAAATTTCAAGTCTGAGTAATTTAAATGAAAGTTACATTTTTGCTCTTTGTATTCTAAATGAAAGCAAGTTTTAATTTAATTCCTCTCCCAAAAATAACATTATTCTACAATTTATATAAATAAAATAAGGAAGTTATAGGTAAGGTTTTAGTGCGATCAATATCATCGAGGATCATGCAATATTTGTGTGAATAATGAAATGAACATTTAGTTTACATGAAGTGAGATCTAAAAGAAATTATATATGTGTTATGTTTGTGATGTGTTTTTTGTTATTATTATGCATTTGTTCTATATTGTTTTGTATCATATGCATCATTATGCATTCATTATATCATTTCTACATAAAAACTTTTAAAAGTTAATTTCTTCAACAATGAAAGTTTTGTAAAATAATTTTTACTTGTGTAATGTCCAATTTTTTAAGCATAATCAAAATTGTAAAGAAGCATTATTAATTAATTGGCCAATTAATCCTCACGGGAATAAAAACTTTTCTATATTTTTAAGATTATTGGTGCACTTGCCATAAGCTATTTAAATTTGCTTCACAAATGATTTCGAACATGCTACACCATGTTGCTAAATTTTGCTAATATAAAGGGAGTGCTAATTTATTTAAATATTTTTTTTTATTATTCATTAGTCATATTGAAAACAATTTGCTTTTCTTCTTTTATAATTATTATTTTATTTTATTTTAATCTTATAAAATATAATTGTTTTTTAGATAAGAGTGTCTATTTTTGTATTATAAGAATATTAGTTTGCCCTGTTACATAATGAGCCAAATGAAACAACTGAGAGGACTTTATCCATTTCAGCTTCACTATGCATGAGTATCTTTCTTACTTGCATCATTCTTGTTATCAATTTATCTATAAATAAAAAAATTAAAGTGCATGTTCTAATAATAACATAATATTTACTCTTTGTTCTAGTGAACAAAACTTTTTTTATTTGAGCTATCGTTAAAAATTATCTCTTAATTACTATTTATTTTAATCCTTTATATCTTATGTCTTTTGAGTGAAGAAAATAATATAAATTAGTAATCACACATTTATTTTAAGAATATTTGTTCATTTATAAAATGCGTCCATATATTTGACAACAAAAAATATTAAAAAAATGATAAAAAATATTTATTTTTCACATTAGTTATGGTATAAAAATGTAGAAAGTGACATTCTAAATTAGTTGTAACAGAACTGTAACGCCCCAAATTTTGTGATATTAATTATTATTATTTATATAAGTATAAATGCATATATATGTGCGTATAAGTGTAAATGAATGTTGTAAATGTGCATTGAAGGCATAATGATGGTGTTTTTGTGTGTAATGAGTATAAATATGTGTATATATATGTATGCGTGGGTGTATGATTGATTGGATTGGATTTCCTGATGCTGAAAACAGGTAAAGGGTGTAATCTCGATGTAGCGAGAGAGTCTCGCTGTAGCGAGATTCTATAGAAACTAGAGTGCAGATTTCTCTGAGTTTTTCGCTGCAGCGTGAGAGCCTGTTGCTGCAGCGAGTTATATCTCGCTGTAGCAAAAGTGTCGCGATCAGAGGGGTTTTAAAAGGGGGTTTAGGGATTTGAGATTCATTTCTCAAATTTCCTCCCAAATCTCTTCAATCCCCCTCAACTCAAAGCCTTAAAGCCCTATTCCACCGATTAATTGCCTCCAAAGCCATTCGGGAGCTTGATTGAAGTTGAATTCGTGTGGGGAACGCTTGGAGGTGAGTTTTAATGGTTAGGGTTATGTTTCTCATCCCCTTTTTCTCTGTTTCTAGGTTTCCTTGGGTTCTCATGGAGTTCTTCCATGTGTTTTAGGCCGAAATCTGTGTAGGGAGCACGACTGAGGTCGAGTCTGAGTGTGAGTCTTCAATCCAAGGTAAGGGGGACTCTACTCTACTCTTTTTATGTGTAATTGATTGAATATGGAGTTGTGGCTGAGTTAGAAGGTAGAAAACGTGTAGAGAATGAAAGTTGATTGAGAAATGTATGTGGGCCATGTGCCTTGATATGTGAATATTATGTGTATTTACCCAAATTTGATGAATGTGGATTGTATATTAAATGTTGTGTAATATGAATGGATAATTGTAGGCTATGTGCCATGATCTGTGGAATGAAATGTGGGCCTAGTACCGTATATTATGAATGGAATGTGGACTGTGTGTCGTGTGAAGCATGAATATTGCATGTGTGACTGGGGCGTATTAGTGCCGTTGTAATGTGTTGTTAATAGTTCAGCGATACACTGGAAGTGTGGAAGATGAGGACGGTGTGAATACCTTGGGAAAGAGGGAGTAGTGGTGACACCGACTATGGAACGGGTGCACCACGGGCCACACACTCTTTTCCTGACTAGATCTCTGACCATTATCTTTGCTGAGCGACCCGTGACTGCCCACGTGGTATCCGTGAGGCGGGGGTAACCAATGGCCATTCATGGTGTAAATCTATGATCACAGTGTCACAGTGAGTGTGGCTAGCGTGCGTATGCACTGGTTTATGAATTGTACTTATGGATATGAAATGTTGTCGATGTCGTGAGTGCATCAGTGTTAAATTGACTTGAGCTGTGTGATAATATTGCTTATGATTGTAATTGTTTAATGTATTGAAAATGTGCAGGAGGTGAGACTCTATGTTGACTGTGTGTCTTTGGGTAGTGTAGAGTACTCACCCTTACATTCATTTTTCAGGTAATCAAGACGATCAGCACTAGACTCAATGAAGGGGTGGATGAAACTGCTATAGGACTTAGGATATTATTTTGAAAATCGTTGTATTTGAATAAATCCTGTAGCAACTGTTTGATGTAATTTGTAACCTCTTTCTTTATTTTAAATGTTTGATGAAACTTAGATTGAAAATGAAAATTTTATTATTTCAAAAATTTGCGAAATTCTTTATTTATTGAAATTAAATTTAAAGTGTTACAAGAACTAATTATAATCTTTTGTTCTTTCTTAAAAGATACGTTGCTTTCCACCTTCCTTACAAACTTGATAGACATAAATGCATATGTAAATACAGTTTCCTAAACATACAACATGCATTTATGAATATCAAATAAAATATATGTCAAATAATTTGTATAAATAATTTGAATGTATGTCAAATAAAATATAAAGTGCATTTTAAAATTGAAAATATGCATAAAAAGAACTATGTACTTAAATGTCATAAATTTTCTTTTGAGACAATGGATCAACATCTTTGAATATCTACATATTCAAATTACAAAAAAAAATAAAATCAACTTATTTGATAGTAATATATGAATAGCTTAATATATGTTTTGAATAAATATACTTATATGCATCCATTAATAAAAAATAGTTATTATGATGATAAGGAATATATGTTTCATAACATAATATTCACACTTTCAACTCTCCTTTTGTTTGTGTGATTAGAAGAAAAATAATAAAATATTTTCATGTAAACAAAATAAGTACCATGAATAGAAAAATAATATAAATTGAATTTGAATTTTGAAGTTACATACATATGGATATATCAATGTAGGCTTCTTTCTCTTTAGATAAGCACCTTTCAAGACATTAAAGATTTAAAAGACACTATTAATGTGTAAGTTTATTAAAATACTTGTCAACTAATAGTTTACATATCATATATATCAATTTATACTAACATGAATATATTTTTCCATCAAAGATGTAAGGAAGTATTGGAACTACTCCTAAAACATGGCCACTACTTGACTTGAAGTATTATCGAGTGCCTACACCTTGTCCAACAATATGAATACAACCGAGGTGCTCGAGTCGTCCAATAGCAACATTTGATGACGTCTAACAAGTGTAAACATTCACTTTGAACTTTGCTCTATTAAGGCATCCTACAAAATATAAACAATAAAAAAATATTTAGTAAAATTAAATACAATATAATGTTTTTTAATAATATATTGTTAAATACTTACAATTTTGTCGCTAATGACACGACTCTCTCGTTTGACATGTACTTTCCTAATTTTCTTTGGCGTGCTCTCTTCCATTTTCCTTGACGTATAGGTGATGATGGAGGAGAAGCAATACCAAACGAGTCAGATTGAGATGTCTCTTAATATGTGGTAGCTATAACATCCTCAATTTCACATAATCTAGTTTTCTATTATTGTTTGAGTGTTTATTTAATTTTTTCAAAGTGATACATAAAAAGTTTGAAGACAGTTATTTAAAATTTTTTTATGATATAATATTTAAGATTTGACAGTAATTTTTAATTTTAAAAAAGTAATTTTAAAAGTGTATGTTTAGAGCAATCAAGGTGAGCTTAAAAAACAATAAAATATGTTTTTAATTAGTTAATGAATAAATATGACCTAAGAACTTATTATATTAGTTAGAAAGTATTTATGTGATGAAAATAATTTTAGAATAATTATTTAACTATTTTTACATTTTTAAAATTAAGTTTTCTATTATTTTTCTATTTATTCTAAAATTAAGCAGGTATCTCTATAGCATCTCTTTTAAGCACAAGTAATTCCACCTAAAATTTATATTAATCATGGAAGTTTATTATTAATTATTTCTAAGTCTTCTTAGAGATTTAAGTTTTTTCCATATGCTTTATTTTAACTGTGTTTACATCACACTTAAAACCCTTGTGTTGGCACAAAACCCTTCCTCTCTCCTCCAGCCCCATTTGATTTTTCTTCACCAAAGTTTGACACATTTTTTATCAAACACAACTTTAGGTTAAAAAAAGGAAAAACCAAATATATATATATATATATATATATGCTTTAGAGTACTGTACAGATTTGTCAGAATCCAAATGTAATTAATAATTCCCAATGCATGGAGTTTGCATCCTGCTGGAATCTAGAAACTGACTGAAGAAGAATTTCTAATAATAAATGTACCTATTTGTATATCCACTCGTTTGAACGACCACCAGACTCGTCAATATCTATAAAAATGCTCACTGCCTGCAACAGAGTTTAGTTTACTTTGATCCTTTTGACAATATTTTTAATAACAATTTTTACAATATAAACAAATTTATACTGACAAAATATCAAAAAATAAAATACAATTACTATATTCTTAAACATTAGACATACGTAAAAAAAAAGGGTATTTTAAACATAAAGAAAGAAGCAGCCATATTTAGTTCAAAAGATGTGCGATATATGCTGTTACTTGAATGTATTTGAAAAGACCTGTGGAGATGCAACAAATTTGAAATGTTGTGAATAAATAGGACTAAGTTTAAGTTTAGTAGATTAAAACACAGATGTGGTGATAAAAATTGGTATCAGGGATATATGTTTGAGGGTTCTGAAATGGAACGAGAGGTGGATTAATGGTGACCCAAATGCCTAACCAGGCCTGTTTGCTGACCCAATATGGCCTGAATTCATTAGGAGTTGATTTTTTCACCTCCTATTTTTCTCTTTTTACACTTCATTAATATTTTTCTAATTTTCAGAAAAAAAAATTATTTCTGTAAATTAATTTCTGAATGTGTAAAATCTTAATTCTTAATTCTGAAAACTTATTTTTGAAAGTTTTGAATTCTAATTTCATAAACTTTTATATCTTGAAAAATTAATAATTCTAACAAAAACGCCAATTCTTAATGATAAATTAAGCATTATATAATGCATTCAAAATCATTAAATTTACTTGGAGAGTAAGATGCTTAAAATATGCTTAAAGAATATGATTATGAAAGAACAAGAAAACTTTGAGCAATGAAGAAGAAAAACGTAATAAAGAGAGAGTGAAGTTTTGACGAAGAAGATTCTTCAATGAAAATAAAAAAATAGAAAATTAAATTATTATTAATAACACTTTAAGAATTATTAACCATTTTCAAAAATAAGTTTTCAAATTTAAGATTTCGAGGAAGCATAGAATTCTAATTCTAAAAATTTATTTCAAACTAATGATGCTGGAAATTAATTTCTAGAAAAGGTTTATTCCAAAAAGATTTATTTATTTATTTTTAATTTTTAGTAGTAGTCTTTGTCTGTTTTGTTTTGTTGAGTTGTGCCTTCTGGTTTGTTTAATGATATATAGTACATCAGCTAACCAAACTTCAAGGATAGCACATAGACAATCATACATACGATTGATGAAAGCATGAGTCATTTTACCTTTCCTATACGAGGTCTTTCTTTAGATTTTGTTAAGCTGTTCCGAATATGTGAGACAGCTCCCCAACATTTCAATGTGTCAGCCACATTATCAAGCCTCATAATGTACTCTTCTTCAGTCAATGGGAAGGATCTCTAAATGCAAACATAATCAATAGACACACTGAAATATAATTTATATGAATAGTCTCTTCACAATCTTTATTGGTTGTTTTCAATCTTTATTTTCGTGTTAAGGAGGCAATGGATTTGGTAAGAACAACCATGATAAGCCTCTTCACATACCTTGCAAAGAAACCTCTCATACTTGAGATTTTAGAGTGTTTCTAGGACCAGTAGTACATTTCAGTCACACTAGTAATACATAAGCACACTATCAAATTGCAATTATGCTTTTATTTCTGTTCTCTTCTTGATCCTTTCTAAATTCATTCAGGGGACAAGTTGTTTTCATTGCTCTTTGTCCCATACTTCTTTCGTAAGTTGCATATTTTAATCAGAACAAATATACTTAAGTAATGTATCGCTAAACAAAGTAACCACAAGGTGTAGCACAAAGTTTAGTACCTGCTCCATGTACTTCCACATGACATTCAGAGCAAGGAGATTTCTTCCCATGAATTCCTAGTACAATAATATGCAACAGCAAAATGAGGAAAACCAAACTACGGAAAAAATAGGAGAGAGAAAGACATACACATGTTTGTCAGCAACAAATGGATAAAACAAACCTAACTGTATATTAAACTGGAATTTAGGATATAGTCAGAATATCCATCTGTTTATAGGGAAACTTTGTCATGCAAAACTCAGGAAGTTAATCTTGTATGTTTTTTCACTTGTCTAAAAGCATACCTTCTTTACCAACTGAACATCATAAGACCTCCCATATTTGTTCCTAATAAGAGTTGCAAGGTCAAATCCACTAAAAGTGGAATCATCCATACCAACTATTTTCTCTAGATTTTCTCTAATCATGTGATCATTCACCTGAAGCATATTTCAGGAAAAAAAAAAACATTAGAATTTTCCATAGCAATGGAGAAGTAATGGACTTCTCCATTACATTTTAAGCTACACATATTAAATAAAATACACATGGTAATATATTTTAGAATGCAATATATTACATAAAAAATGGAAATTAAAATTTAACATACTCCTCCACTTCCACTATTGTGAGATTTGTTCTTATCAGGGTCATCTGGGTCACTGGAATTCACACCTTCATTCACTGTCCTGGAAAAGATTGGACCACATTTCTTGGCACTTTGGTGACATCTATGAGCCAGGTATCCAACATTGTTGAAACCTAATACTCTTGAGGGAGAATAATGGCCGAAATATCCTAAAGAAGGAACCTTCTTAGTAGTTGCTTTGTCAAGATCCAGAACTCTGATGGGCCAAGTATAGTGATGGGAGGACATAGTGTGCATTGTTCCCTGTGCAGTGTATCATTAAAAAATGCAAGGAAACATTGTTATTGGCAGCTACTTGAAAAACTTCTAAAACTCAAGAAAGATAAGCATCCCATTATAGAAATAAAAGTTAATGGGATTGCATTTTGAGGCAATTATTACTTATATTTTTTGGGTCAAGAAAAGGTATAATAATACAAAAGCAATATCATTTAGGGATATATTTTTCTTACATCGCCAAGCTACATGCCTACATCTTATGTTTTTCCCTTTATTCTACTTAAGTACCACAGAAAAGAAAAAGAGAATGGAAGCTTTCTGACAAAAAATTGTGTTTTTCCTTCATACGATAAAATCTTTTTATCTTTTCCCACCTTACTTTCATAATCTGATTTTCAATTTTTCAGTAGAAAAGATCATGGCTCTGGAATTATCAACAACTATGCCCCTGCTACCAAACGTAGATTAGATAAATGAAAGGTCTCCAACTTGAAGAGAATCTTCATCAGTCAAATGTGCAGTGCAGAGATATTATTAGAAGGACAATTGATTAATCATTGATAATAAAATAGCAAAAGCTAATAACAATTATGCCTTTTTCTGCTTAATAATTGTCTTCTGGCGCCTGAAAAGTTGCCTTCATATTTCCTTTCCTTGTTTTCCATTTTCCAAAGATATATGAATACACAAGTCCATGAATTTGAAACCAACAATTAAAGCATAAAACATTGTCTTAAATTCCTAGTTACTTATCCAAAAATAACAATTTTTATTACCTGCTATAAATTAAGTACATTGAGTCTCATCTACAATACTCATAAATAGATAAATAAGCTAATCCTAAATAGAAAACGGTTAATATAGCAGACAAACAACAAACCTGGTTGGTATTGGGTAAAGTCTGTGAAACTATGAAAGAGAGAAGAAGCAAAGACACAAAAGATGTAATAGGGAGCAATTACACACTACTCGTTGTGTTTGATAGATTTTTAAATATGGGTGAAGTAAAATGTGCAATCAATTGGAAACACGTTTGTGCCTTGAGACAACAACTTAACGGTCTCACGTTGTAGCTTGCACGTGTTTTCTAACGACCAGGTTGTACTATGTAACAATGATACCATGGGTAGTCACTCACGTTCAAACAAAAGAGGAAGATAGCTTGTACGCTATTGTTCCGTTCCTCAAAAGAGTTGTTTCAAGCAAATTCATAGTCTCTCAAGGTTTCTCCGTTGTATGGATTACGCTTGATTTTATCCTTATTTAGCAATCATCACAATTTGTTTAGGTCATTATATATTTAATTTTTCCATTAGTTCTTTTTCTTTTTTTCTTTTTGGATTCGAATTTTTCCTATAGTTCTAATTCCTTCTGTTTAATCTACTTTTATATGTAAAATGGGAGTCATTATAGTCAAATAAAGTATTTTTAAGTGCTATCTTAAATTAAAATATTTTTTAGTTAATTATTCTATGGGACTTCTTGACTTGTGCATTAGCAATTTACTTTTTTATATTAATTAATTTTTTTATCATAAATATTTTATCTCTTTAATTTAGTCATATTTAATATAATAAAATATTTGTTTGAATCATTATACCATGTGCTTCTCTTTTATTAAGCATTTATTTTTAATTAATGTAAATTTATTTTTTAATATAAATATTTTATTTATTTAACTTATTCAATTTATTCATATTTAATATAATAAAATATTATTATTAATAATTAAAATATTTACTTTTTAAATTTATTAAATATTTAAATTATACAATATATCTTTACTTTTTAATTTTTTTAAAAATAATTTAATTTAACATTATCCAAACAATACACAAAATTCACTGCTATTTATAATTTTAAATTAATTCTTGTTATTAACTGTCTCTTACATTTTATTTTGAGCATTTTATGGTATTTTCATATTTTGAATTAAGATATTAGAGATAGATGGATGAGTCTCTGTCATATTTTTGTAATATCTTTATTTTTTATTCAATATAAATAATAAAATATAACTAAAAATAAAAATTTAATGAAACTTATACTTCTATTATTATATTCGTGAAAACTCAAAAGTATTTAAACACTTAAACGAAGTAGTGTTCAATTTATCAATAAAGCAAAAATTAAGATTTTTATCTTAATATTTCACTTAATTTATATTATGTATATATAGACTTAATACATAAATAGCATTTTTTTTCTCATGTAGTAAAATCTTACCAAAATTTAAATGTAAATTAACTATTAATAAATACAACACTTCAAATTGATGTTTACAACACAATTTAAAAAGTGGTATAAATTCTAAATTTAATATTAAATGATTACATAACCTTATTATCTGAAATGAAAACTTAATAAAACATTACACACTTCAATTAATTCAAATATTAGAGTAATCTTCAATCACAAGGTCACTAGACTATGATCAATCTTAGAATGGATCAATTATCTTTATTTCCTTTTCATTCGTCTTCCTGAAAATATCAGTGAGAGTGAGTATTTCTCGTTTCACTAAATCTCTTATTTGACAGAAGAAATGTATATATATAATACTGAAAATATTATCTAATATTTATTTGATTAATAATAGCACTCAGATTATACAAATCATTATCACAATGGTGCACACACACAACAAACCAATCATCTTTGCAAATATTTATAACATACATTTTCATATTAATCGGTATGTCATAATACATGTATTATACCACATCAATTAATATGTCATAGTACATGTGTCTTAATCGCACCCGTCAATGTATTACAACACATATATCATTACAAAACCAATTAATATGTTACAACACACATTTTATAATCACACAATTTCTATATTATTTCATGTCCATCATCATTTCACAATCATTTCTCCTGGATCTCTTGAGGACTTTATAGCATAGATAGTTGATGGATAGCCGTTACACACGGATATAACGTGTACCAACCCGGCTCCTTTTAGCAAAAGTATGGTCAGGAGTTTAGGTCAAGAAATGAATATGAGGAGGCATGTGGTGTTTTTCTGTATATTTTCATTAATTATTCGCATTTCATAGAAAAACATTCACCACTCTCATTTCTCCTAGTTTTTTCAATCGCTCTCATCTTCCACACTCCTAGTGTATCTTTATGACCATCTATACTTATTCTTAGCATTTCTCATATTATTATCTTTCTTTCTCACATACTTTTCAAAAATTAACATGTCATAATTCGTGAGTTATGATTATATAAATCAATGTATTACAATGCATGTATTATAGTACACCCTTCGATGTATCACAATACATATATTATAATCACATCTCTCAATGTGATCATGTTACATCATTCACTTCTGTACATAATACTCTCTCTTCATTCAAGAATATTCAAAAAATATTTATCATTAATACAAATCTACCAATTTCAACACACCTTAGCTATCATACAACATCCATATTTCTTACATTATTTAACACATAAACAGGAGCGGCTCAAGAGCTTTTAGGGCCTAAAGCAAATTTTAAAATGAGGCTTTTTTATTAATAAAATATTTTTTTAAAATTATTATAATTTTATTTAAAATTTATTTTTCAAACTTTTATTTAAAATTATTATAATTTTATTTAAAATTTATTTAAAATAAGACCAAATTAAAACAATAAAATCTGATTGTCAAAAAAATAAACTTGACACTTGCAATTTCTACGCCTTCAAAAGTAACAGATTTGCAAAGAAACTGTGAAATATTATTTGGTAGGTATGGGTAATGAAGGTTGAGTAGTGAAGGGAAGACTCTTGTACCAGTGCCTTTGCGTTGAGAAAATGGAAGGTTTCATACCAATGCTTATGCGTTAGAAAAATAGAAGACTTTGCTTCCTCCTCTACTTCTACCCTAAGGTTGTTGTTAGTAAAAAATTACAAATTGAAGCAAAATTGAACAAGAAGAGAGTAGTTAGAGAAAGGAAGAAGAAAGAAGTAGCAATTAAATAAAAAGTAAAAAACTGTTCAATTTTTTCTTTGCTATTCAATTATTTTTTTAAAAAACAAATTAAAAACATTTATTATTTATTGGTTAAGAGTTACAACTCATTAAATATTATTTATAACATCAATGAAAAGTTAATAATTACTTAAAATATTTAAATTAAAAGCTATTTTAAAATTTAATCATTTTAATTTTTTTAAAAGTATAATAAAACTAAAAAAAAAAAATTTGGGGGCCTAAAGCCCTTGCCTTATTTGCTTGGGCTTTAGGCTGCCCCTGCACATAAAGGTCATCAAACAATTTCACACCATACAAACTAATACAATATGTCGAAGGTTAGACACCTCTGAACTCAATCCAATCATACAATCCAATATACACATTCTCTCAGTAATGATAAAGTCATTTATCCTAAAGTTTGACATCTTCCAATATTCGTTGTAAGTTTATTATTCAAAAATATCAAATAGCAATTTTAACTACCTCTGAACAATGTTCACTAGTCAAATCATAATATTTCTAAAAAAAAATGGTTCTATTCAGAGTTTTTGTCATAAATTGTATTTAACTAGTTCTGAAAATAATCCTGAGTTTTTCATGTCAAAAATCTCTATTCCTACACTTGAGATTTAAGGAAACATTAGGATTCTAGGGTTCTAATAGAAAAACTTAGTATTTTTAAACCAAAGTACCAAAAAGGAGTTAGGATTTGGGATCAACTCCCTTTACCTGGAAATAGGTTTCTAATACTACTTTCTTTGCGAAATATATAGAGAAACACAACATTATGATAGGAGATGTTATCCAAGGACCAAGATTTTTCTTAGATATCATAAAAGAAAACACTTATAAGAAGAGAAAAAACAAAGGAATAGAACAAAATTTGGAGAACTAAACTTCGAGAAACTTACTTGGGATCGAAAGGAATAAGCGTTTAAGCTCAGATCTGGAGAAGATTCAGAGTTAGGGAGAGTTTTCTCTTGGAAGGGAAGGTAAGAGAGTAGAGAGAAATGGAAAGGAAGGTGTTTGGCTTCAAAAATGAAGTTTCTAGACTGGAAGTTCTTTAAATACCCCTCAAACCTGCGATTTTCTCGCTACAACGAGTAGCTCTCATTACAGTAAAAAAATTATACAACATTTTTTTTCTTTGCTGTCTGTCATTCTAGCTACAGTGAGAGAATCCCTTGCTACAACGAGAGTGTTGTTAGGTCATCCTTATCCACTTTTCGCTATAGCAAGACTCCTCTTGCTGAGGTCTCTAAAGGGCCTAGTCTAGAATGCTCTTTCTCGCTACATTGAGAAATCTTGCACCAAAATTTTTATTTTTTTTCAAGAACAAGGCAAATAAATTGAGAGTGTTACAGTTTTCTAGTTATCTTATTTCAAAACATTGATTTCAATATTTATTTAATACAACAAAAAAGTCATTTGAGCTTTCTAAGATTATTAAAACTCGAATTTAAAACTACATGTTAACTTAAAAAAATATTCCCAAACAATTGATCCATATACTTAATAATTTTAATTAAAAAATTTAAACTAATAAAGATGTTCATGTGTTATATGAATTTATAATAGGTTTTATTAAATTATTTTGCTTAAAAAATTATAAGGAATTATAATATAAATATAAGACAAGAAAATAATTATTTATCAATTAATTATCAAATAATTATTTTGAATGTGCAAGAAATATTTAAAAGGTATTACAAAATTTTAATAACAAATAATATTTGATACGTTTGTAATTAGACCCTTTTTTACAGTCCATATATTTATGTTTGGCCTTTATCTTATTTAGATTTTACACTGATTTATATATTAATTGTGCAGTTTAGTATAAAGATGTCATAAGTAAATGTTGGATGCGTTTTGGGCCCAAACTAATGGAAAATCAGGACTTCGCAATAGTCAGCATGCCTAGACTTTTTTAGCAAACACGGGGGAAGGGGTGCTTCGAGCTCGATTAATGATGAACTTTTAGGGTTTTCAAACCTTATTATAGAGAAATCTCAGGCGCCAAGTTTGACATCTTGCCTTTTAATCTTTGATACATCTTTCACCTTGTCTCTCTTGCATAGGATCGTTGGCATACTCTTGATGGGACTTAGAGCTTTGAGCGACTGTACTTAAAAATCGAGAAATCATCTCTTTCTAGTTTGCTTTTCTCTATGGCTTTATTTATTATTATTTTAGTTCTTCTCTTTAGCATGAGTAACTAAGTCCATAGTTGGGCTATGGGAACTATTGTTCATGA